CTATTGATCTGCTTTCTGTGTCTATGGTTTTGCCCTTTTAGAAATATCATATAAATGTAATCATACAATTCATAGCCCTCATTGTAGTTTTAATTTGCATATATATTACAAATGATACTGAGCATCTTTTCATGTATGGTATAGACTGAATAACTGTGTCCCCACAAAACTCATATTTTGAAATCTAGTCATTAATGTGATATCATTTGGAGGTGGGGTCTTTGGGAGGTGATTAGCTTATGAGGGTGGATTAGCTCATGCATAGGATTAGTGCCCTAAAGGGACATCTGTAATACTTTCAACAATAAAGATAAATTTAAAAATAAAATAAAAGAGACTCCAGAAAGCTCCCTTACTTCTTGTAACATGTGAGGACACAAAGATAAGACAGCTGTCTATAAACCAGAAAACAGACCTTCACCAGAAACAATCTGCCAACATCTTGACCTTGGACTTTTCAGACCCCCGAACTGTGAGAAATAAATTTCTGTTGTTTATAAACCATCCAGTCTACAACATTTTTGTTACAGAAGCCCAAGTAGACTAAGACAATGTTCTTATTTATCATCTACATATCTTCTTTAGTGAAGTGCCTACTCAAGTCTTTTAAATGGTGGATTTGGATTTCTTTTTGATCATTGGATTTCTTTTCGGGGGGGGGGCGGATCTTATTATTGAATTGTAAGAGTTCTTTGGATACAAATCTTTTATTAAATACATGTTTTGAAAATACTTTCTCCATGTCTATGGGTTATCTTTTACTTATATTAAAACATTTAAAAAAAGGGCCCTGGCTGGTTTGGTTCAGCGGTTAGAGCAACAGCCCATGGTCCAAAGAGTCTTGGGTTTGATTCTGGTAAAGGGCAGGAACCCCGGTTGCTTTTCGTCCAGGCCCTAGTCCGGGTCCTGTGGTAGGAAGCTGTGCATGTGTCTCTTTCACATCAATGTTTCTCTCTCTCTACTTCCCACTCTATCTGAAGATAAATGGGAAAATACCTCGGGTGAAGATTTTAAAAAATAAAAAACATTTAAAATAGGAAACAAAGCCCCTAGGTAGGGTGGGGATGGTGGGGAGGGAGAGGATTCCAGCTTGTCTCTCCCAGCATGCCCCGCTCCCTCCCCCCCCCCCCCCCTATACATGTACACACAGCGGCTCTCCAATGGCGGAGACTCCAGATTCCTTTCCTGGCTGCTGCAGAAGTGAGGAGCCAGAAGGCAAGCAACCTGCCAGGGCCTTGGTTTTCTGTGACCTGGCTCGGAATTTCAGCATTGTCACCTGCCACTCAACCATTCTATAGTTTAGAGTCCCACCACACAAACCTGAGAATAAACAGACCACGTGGAGGTTACTGAAAAGATGTTCTGGGGGCTGGAACTATCTGTGGCTGGAGAGTTTTGATGGTAGTTAGTAGTATTTGCAGATAGGAATATAAATAATCTTTCAGTTCAAACATGTTGATCTGTATCATTCTATTATTATTACTTAGTTCTTGAGGAATAAAGTTAACTTTTTTTCGAGGTAAATAGTGAGCGTGATAATACTTCAGGTTGTTTCTCTTTGGCATTAAAACTTGACTCCCAAAAATAGATTAGAATTTATGGGTGAGAAAATTGTCATTTTCTGCTTAACAAGAATTCATTTCTGCGTTCTTTATCTTTTTATTTATTTTTTCATGAAGAAAGGAAATAATAAAATTTTTAAAGATTATGTGGCCTGACGCCCTGGCCGGTTTGGCTCAGCAGTTAGAGCTTCAGCCTGTGGTCCAGAGAGACCCGGGCTTGGTGTCCGCTAAGGGCACATACCTCGGTTGCAGTTTGTCCCCGGCCCTGGTTGGGTTGTGCGAGTGGCAGCCACTCGATGTGTACCTTTCACATCGATGTTTCTCTCTCTCTCTCTCTCTCTCTCTCTCTCTCTCTCTCTCTCTCTCTTCCTCTCTCTCCCTACTACTCTATCTGAACAAAAAACGGAAAAATGTCCTTGGATGAGGATCAAAAAAAAAGATTATGTGGCCTGACTCAAAACACTTCCAATAATTTTTAGGAATTTATAGTCAGGTGTGCAGGGTCAAAAATGCATTAAATGTATTTGTATTTTGTCTCTTTTTAAATTTCATTTTTTATTTAGACAGATGAATTTCACTGTGGCTATTTGTGTTACCTAGTAAAATGTAAATTATATGTAAATGAAATTTTTCATTTAGCTCTGTTTCTTTTTTGGAAAAATAATTATATGTACAAATCGATCTATGGGGAAATATTGAGTATATAAAGAGAGAGTTGGTCCCTGGATCCCACTGGAGCCATGCAAGGTAACATGCGTCTCTGAAATCTAACTCAGGGGAAATGGACCTGTGTTACAGGGTATGTGGCCGCCAAATTCAAGGTTAGGTACCGTCCCTGGTTCCAGTGTCTAGCTACTAGAAGGGGTCCGTACTCCAACAAATCCAGCTCAAGGCCTAGAAGGGTAAGGACGCCCTTACCCTTGCAGCAAACCAGAGAAATCCCCATTTCCCTGAGGCTGTCCTGCAGGGAGGAGCTACATGGGGGCGGGGCCAGAGGAATAGAGACTCCCGCCGTTCTTGGGGCCACACCTCAGACACTTGCTTCCAGACACTTGAAGAGGAAGGAGCTCCCATTGCCCAAGGACTGGATCTGAAGAGGGTCTGAGCTTAGGCTCCACTAGCCCTGGAAAGTTTCCAGGAGTAGCCATGACCCAGGGAGCAGGAAGGACTTGAGGGAATAAAATGAGCGATTCTCCAGGAGCTTAGAAAAGGACAGATATAGAAGGGACTGACGGTGCCAAGGAATCCTGGCGGCTCAAGAGACTGCACTCAGGAGGCAGGTGGCTCGAGTGTCCGCCCAGAGACCGGATCTGCTTGCAGCGTCTGCGGGGCTCCTGGAGACTCGGGACTTTACTCAAGGACGCTTGGCCTGGGGGGGGGTTGGGGGGGGGGGAGGCTGGGTCCTGACCGGAACCCCGCGGACTTCTGCGGCTGCCTTGCTGTCTCCTGGACCTGTCCCTGCTCCTGCCTATCCCTGTGCTCATATGACAGCCGGGCGTGCTTTTCTCCGGAGTTGGTTCCTGCTCACTTCAGTGAGGACCAGGGGCCCCCTTAAGTCACCGGACCTGGGAAAACACATGGAAAGAGGCCAGTGCAGGCAGAAGGGAGTAGCGGGGTGGTCTCTCTCCTCCTGAGCGTGCGGTCCCAGGGGCCCCGAGTAGGCTCCGCTCCCGGACAGAGCAGCCAGTCACGTGGAGGCGAGGGCGCCTAGAAAAGCTAGTAAACCTCCACATTTGGTTGAAAAAGCTGCGGTGAGCAAAGGAGGAGAGTGGGAATCCTACGACTTGGAAAAGGTGGCATCCGCATTTGGCGGAAAGGAAGAAATCAACTTACCTTTGTTGTTTGTTTGTACTTATGTGAGTCAACTCTGAGCCAGGGATTTTATATGCATTAAATTGAATCTTCACTTACATCCTCTATGATTGTAATTTCATTGCCAGTTTATGATGCATTATGAGGAGATGGATAAACACATTATGATGTTAATCTATGCCACCTTATTACAATAGAAAAATTCAGATTTTTATCCTGTATTTGTCCCAAATTTGTGCTTTTCTGCCTCTTACTGATTACACTTACTGGGTCCTTCCTCCCTGCTTGACTGTGAGTAAGGCCAAGTCAGGAATTTTAACTTTCATCTCTGTATCCCAAGCAACTAAGACAAGGTTTACAGAGCAGTAGATGGTGAATGAATTTGAAAATATGTGATTCAAAAGCATGATTCACAAGCAGAGGTACGAAATTTGTAAATATTGTCATTATTTTCTGCCACTGTAATTGTAAGCTTATAAAAATGCATAAATAATGAAATATTTTACTAAGACATCAAAGAGTGAGATGAACTGTCAAGTCCCAACTGTTTTTACATATAAAGAATACAAGGGCTTATGCAATGCTAAAGTCCATGAGAACAAAAAGTGAAAATAACCAGGAAGGTTTAAAAAAAGATAAGTGTAATGAGGTGGCCCTGCCTTTCAACAGACTTTAATATGTCACGAAACCAAAATAATTAAAGCAGTGTGTTACCAGTACATGAAGTCACAGATCAGTGGAATAAAATAGTTATATACATATCCATACACGCAGGTATGTAATGTAATAAATGCATTGGGGGTAAAATGTGATTCATTTACACATGGAACCTTAGAAAGGGGCTGGGACAGAAACCAGGATAAATTCAGACATGACCTAGAAAATTGGTGCCAAGAGTCAAAGCAAATGATGCCAATGGGCAGTCAATTCAAATGGAAAAGGAGAGTTTTAAAAATGCAATTTCCAATTTTTGAAATCAGTAAGAAAAATCTCATTGACCGTTAAGAGATAAATACATGCAGGAAGCTGCTGCCCACAAGCCCCGTCCACTCACAGGACAGGGAATACCACTCTTCAGAGAGTAGGCAGACCCATATTAGGGGTATAACAACTTTTTTGTTGTTTTTCCAACTTTTTAAAAATTAATATAATAAATAATTTTGTCCACAATAACAACTGCAGTAAAGACACCAACAATTTTCTTAAAGGCAACTATCTTATCTCCAGTCAATCAAATCTTCCCCACCCGAGTTCCAGTGCAAGAGTCCTGAGAAACAGTTCCCCAGAAAAAGTACAAGTTATTGGCTCAGGGGTGAACCTACTCCTTTGGGCAGGTGGAAGAGGGAGTAAAACTTCTCACCTCAGAAAACTCAGTGCCCTCCAGAGCCCAATCATTGCATTGTTTATTTCAAGAGCCATAATTGGATGAAGTTCCTCTGGGAGGTAGATTTGGTGTATGGAGAAGAGCCAGAAGGTCCTACCCAAGATCTCGTCTTTTCTTTTGAGGAGAGAAAGAAAGAAGGAAGACAATAAAAATGGACAAGGAATAAAGACCTTTAATTGGATATCATGCCAAGGACTTTTATTAGGAAATTCTCTGCCCTACTCCTTAGAAATGAACAAAGCTCAGTGGGAATCTGAGCCACAGGCGTCTCCCAGGGAAGATGAACTGGAGCTGCTGTCCTCACTTTCTTCATCTTTATCCCAGTTGTTGGAGTTTGAGGGGCTATTGCCTTCTGCTTTTTCCCCTTCTTCCTTATTTTCTTCTGATCCACATGAGGCATGAGCATGGTCCCCAATAGTCTCTGGTGATTCTGTCTCTGGAGCCTGCAGCCCCTGCTCCTGTGCAAGGCCTTCTTGCAGAGTCCTTGCTGATGGAGACTGCACCTCTGTCCTGATGATCTTGGGGTCTGGGCCTCCATTCATGATCATGTTCTTACGCTTAGCACAGGTTCTCTCTCTGTAAGTAGCATAGTCTTCAGGAGACAGACTCTTGAGCCAGTGATCCAGGTCCACCTTGTACTGTTTCTGCAGCTCCTCAGCCTGCTTCTTATACTGCTCCTTCCGGCTGGGTGGGATGCGCTGCCAGCGTCTGCCAATCTCCACCATGCGCTCCCTCGGGGGCAGGCCTTGCAGCTCCCCACTGGACCACACATCCTCGTGGAACTTGTGGTATGCGTTCATTGGGGGCTTCTTGGGCTCTCCATAGAATTTCAACTCAGAAAAGTAGTCTTCTTGGGGAGACTTCACTTTTTTCATATTTTCCCCAAACTTTTTTGGGGCTTTGGTTGGGCTCCTTTTGTGGACAAGAGATGTCTTGGAGTTCTGGACTAGATCAGGGTGGTCCTTCCTAAATTGAGCCAGCTTCTCCTTAAACTCCTGTTTCTCCTTCTGAAAATCTTGAAAATATTTCAACCTCATCTGCTCTGGGAGTCTCTTATATTTCTCCGACAAGACCTTGGTCAGCTCCTGTTTCCTGAGGTTGGGGTGCTTTTGGGCGTACAGGAGCCGCTTCTCCTTGAAGAAGCGGAGGTAGGGAGGCAGGGGCTTCTTGGGTAAATCAGGATGAACCTTGTACTTTTTGCTTTTGTAGGAATTTTTAACATGTTCTTTCACTTCCAGGACTAATTCTTTCAAAGTGCGAACCTTTCTCAATTTATACGAAATTTCTAACCATTTGAGTTTGCACATTTCTCCAGAAAAATCTTTAAAAGCTACTTTTTCCCAGTCCATCAGTGACTGGGTTGTTTTGAATGTGTGGTTGTCTTTGGGTGGAAGGTTATTCTCCATGCTTGCTAGTAGCTGTGCTATGTCTTTTTCACACCAGTTGTCTTGACTGTTAGGCAATGCCATATCTAGGCCTTTGGGCCACTTCTATGGTCCTGGCAGTTTAGGCACCTCAGCAGGATCTCAACTTTCTTCACTCTCAATACCACACTGGTGAATTAATGTTGGACATGTGATTCTATATTTCTGTGGAGAAAGAAAAGTTACTCTTTTATGTGAAAAGTGAGATAATCACATACCACTTAGGCTATGTTCCTTCTATAATTTAACGTGCAAATAGAAAATATAAATAAAACCTGGCCTGTCCGGCCGGTGTGGCTCAATGGTTGAGTGTCAGCCCCTGCACCAAGAGGTGACCAGTTTGATTCCCAGTCAGGGCACATGCCCAGGTTGTGGGCCAAATCCCCAGTGGTGGGCAGGCAGGAGGCAGCCGATTGATGTTCTCTTTCATTAATGTTTCTCTCTCTCTCTCTCTCTCTCTCTCTCTCCCTTCCTCTAAAATCAATAAAGAAAAAATTTAAATAAAAACTGGCCCAACTAGGAGTTGAGATTATGATGAGCTTTAACAAGCTTTATTTGCATTATTAAAAATCCTCAAGCTCGCCCTGGCTGGCGTGGTTCAGTGGATAGAGCATCATTCCAGGCACCAAAGGGGCCCAGATTCAATTTCCTGGTCAAGGGCACAAACCTAGGTTGCAGGTTCTATCCCTGGCCCCCAGTGGGGACAGGAGGCAAGCAATCGTGTTTCTCTCTCACATCTCTTTCTCTCTCCCCCTTCCCTCTCTCTAAACATCCTTGGGTGAGGATAAATAAATAAATAAATAAATAACAAAACAAAAAAATTCTCAAGTTCAAAAGAAAAAGAAAAAAGAAAAGTCCCCACGCTCCATTCTAGTATGCCTTCCCATCAATCTTCCGACAGCTTGTCTTAATTGCACTTGAACAAAACAACCAGCAGTTCACTCAACAAGCAAGGATTAGAGAAAAGAAGGGAAAATTTAAAATATTGAAATGAAAAATAAATGCTTAAAGAGGAAAGGACTTTAAAACAACAATGAAATACCACTACACATCTATTAGAATGGCCAAAATCCACTCTGTGTTCCTTACCCACCCATTAGTCACTTAGATATTAGGGTTATGTTATAAAATCAACTGTCCTGGCATGACAGTGTTTGTGTTCAAGTAACCTTCATTTCACTTAATAGGCCCAAAGCCCAAGCAGAGCAATGCTGGCAATTCATATATACCATAAAGAAACCATAAAGTGCTTCCTTTAAGTTAAAAGGTATGTACATGCCCTGGCCAGTTTGGCGCAGCGGTTGGAGCGTCGGCCTGCGGTACTGAGAAACCCGGGTTCGGTTCTCGCTAAGGGCACGTACCTCGGTTGCAGTTTGTCCCCGGTCCTGGTTGGTCGTGCGGGTGGCAGCCACTCGATGTGTCCCTTCACATCGATGTTTCTCTCTCTCTCTCCCTCCCGCTCTCTCTGAACAAAAAATGGAAAAATGTCCTTGGGTGAGGATTAAAAAAAAAAAAGGTATGTACATATAGGAAAAATCATAGGAATTCACTGGGGGGGGTGGGGGGAGCTCAAAATGTGTCCCCCTTGGATAAGGGAGGACTACTGTAATCACAGAACACATTATTCTCAAACACATATGTTGATCATTTTCTTTTTTGTTTGTTTGTCTGGTACGTGCCCCTAGCGGGAACCTAACCTAGGACTCTCTGGTCTGCAGGCCGATGCTCCAACCCCTGAGCCAAACTGGCCAGGGCTATATGTTGATCATTTTCTAGGACCTAAAGAGAGTCTAAAATAATGCAACATTATTACAAGAACATTTAGAAAGTTCTGAATAAAATAAAATTATTTTATTTTTTTATTTCGAGAGTATATTTTTGTTTTTGTTTTTGATAATCCTCACTGCAGGATATTTTTTTTCCATTGATTTTTTTAGAAATAGTGGGAGAGACAGAGTGAGAGAGAAAATAACATCAGTGTGAGAGAGACATTGTTTGGTTGCCTCCCACACGAGCCCAGCTAGGCCTACAAGGCTGACCCGGGGAGACTGGGGCCAACTGGCCAGGGATCAAACCCGCAACCCACATATGTGCCCTTGACCGGGAGTTGAACCCAAGACCTTTTGGTGCTAGGGGCTGACGCTCTATCCATGGAGACACACCAGGGCAAGAGTATGTTCATTAAAGCTGGGCACAGTAAAACAAGGAACGGCTTAGGATAGAAGCAACAGGAGAGCCTAGGCTGGGATGCTTTGGCTCCTGAGAAGTCAGAGAAAAGGGGCCTTGGACAAAGGTTCAGGGCGTTAGCTCAGATTCAGCTGCCTCTGCCCACTGCTTCTCTGATTGCAAGTCCCCCAGGTCCCCTAGATCTTAGGAGATGCCAGCCTCAGAGGGCAGAGGGGGGGAAGGGAAAGGCCTGGGCGAGCTCTCAGGAGGGCACCGTGGCAAGAAAATTTTAATTTTAGAAAGTACAATCTTAAAAGAAATATAACCAACGCCATTGTAAATGGGGAATTCTTAGAAGAATTCTCTTTTAAATCAGAAATTAGGAAAAGGACAGTCATTACCACTGCTTCCATACCATCTTGTCCTGGGGGTCCTAGCTGGCACAATTTATAAAAATGATGGTGGGGGAGAAGAGAAAAATTAGAGGATTGAAAAAAATAGAAAAAAATAACATTGTTCATATTAAAATATTGGTAGGGGATGATTCTATTATAGAAAAGAACTGTATACCAACAAATCATTGAAAAAACGTAAGAAAGAGGTAGGGAAATGTATTCAAAATTAAAAGACTTTTGAAAGCTATAAGATCCTGAATATTCTGGTGTCTGTATACCTCATTCCACTTTTATTTCTTGTTCCCTCCAGGTCCGGTGGCTTTTTTCAGTCACTTGAGCTTATCACCTTCTTTCTCAGCTCAGGATCCCATCTAAACACACCCTAATTACCCTCAAGCCTGTTTTCAAAGCCACTCCCTTATACTAGCCTAAATTTACATTTCATTTTATCCCCCCCCCCTTTTTTTCCCTTTATAGCCTTAACCCAAATTGTAACTACAATTTCCATAGCTATTTGTGTAATGTTTTGCTCCCTGACTGTAGCCCTCATGAGGGTAGGGATGTTGTCTGTCTTGGTTATGGCTATTCCTTGATACATAGCACAAGTTGTTAATAAATAAGCAATAAATGAGGCAAGAATGCTTTCAGATGTGTTATTCACAGAATTGGAAATACATTTACAGACTGAAAGGCAGAATGTCTTAAATTACAGTGAAAATAATCCCAAATCAAAATATCATTCTCTAGTTAATACGAATTTAGACTAATCCTCCGATGTGATTTCAGAGAATCATATACATGTTAGGCCAACAGTATTTTAGTCTCATAGCTTTCATTTATGCATGGCTTCTACTGATCAGCTGTTCTCAATAGTTACTGGCTAAATAAAAACATCATTATGAATCCATGTTAAGATTCTATAGTTCAAAATTTTTCAACATTATAAATATTGTCATTTGAGGGGGAGGGGCTGTCCTTTGTTTAGCAGAATCCATAGTCTTTCCTCACTAATTCCAGTAGTGAATTCCAGTTGTGACAACTAAAAATGTTTCCAAATATCAATAAGTAACCCTGCAAGGAAAAAAAAATTACTCCCAGTTGGAACTACTGCATTAGTTACTAGAGAAAAATAAATATGAGAAACGGATAAATAATTTAGTTATGCTAACTGATTTTTTAAATCTCACAATCTAGCCCAGCCGGTGTGGCTCCGTGGTTGAGCATTGACCCATACACCAAGAGGTCACCGGTTCAATTCTTGGTCAGGGCACATGCCCAGGTTGTGGGCCCAATGCCCAGTGAGGAGCATGCAGGAGGCAGCCAATCAATGTTCTCTCTCATCAGTGTTTTTATCTTTCTCTCCTTCTCCCTTCCTCTCTCTCTAAAACCAATAAAGAAAAAAAAATTAAAATAAATAAATCTCACAATCTAGAACATGTAAGATAAGGCAATAAATATCATGTAAGATCATAGAAAACTTGCTTATGGAGTTTCCTCAAAAAGTTAAAGATGAAATTGCCTTATGACTCAGCAACTCCACTTTTGGGAATGCATATATTTAAAAAAAATACTAATTTGAAAGAATATATGTACCCCTATGTTCATTGCAGCATTATTTACAATAGCCAAGAATTAGAAGCAGCCCAAATGCCCATTAGTAGATAATTGGATAAAAAAGCTGTGTTAGCCCTGGCCGGTTTGGCTCAGCGGTTGGAGCATCCGCCTGCGGTCCAGAGAGACCCGGGTTCGGTTCCCGCTAAGGGCATGTACCTCGGTTGCAGTTTGTCGCCGGCCCTGGTTGGTCGTGCGGGTGGCAGCCACTCGATGTGTCCCTTCACATCAATGTTTCCCTCTCTCTCTCTTCCTCTCTCTCCCTCCCACTCTATCTGTACAAAAAAAAATGGGAAAATGTCCTCGGGTGAGGAAAAAAAAAAGAAAAAAAAAAGCTGTGTTATATTTATACAATGGAATAATACTCAGACGTAGAAAATATGGAAATCTTGCCCTGGCTGTTTTCACTTGCCCTGGCTAGTTTCGCTTGTCCATTAGAGCATCGGCCGTGGATCAAAGAGTTGTGGGTTGATTCAGTCAAGGGCACATACTTAGGTTGCGGTTTGACCCCAAACCCAGTCAGGGTCATCAGGGTGCTGGGGGAAGCAACCAATCAATGTGTCTCTTTCACATTGATATTTCTCTTTCTTTCTCTCTCTCTCGCACTGCCTCTTCCCACTGTATCCGAAGATAAATGGAAAATTATCCTCAGATGAGGATTTAAAAAAGAAAAGAAGGAAATTTTACCTTTGTGACAGCATGGATGGACCTGGAGAGTATTGTTACATGAAATAAGCCAGTCAGGGAAAGACAAGTACCACATGATTTCACTCATATGTGGAATCTAATGAACAAAATAAACAAAGTGGAGACAGACTCATGGATACAGAAAACAGACTGACAGGTTTCACACATGAGGGAGTTGGGGACTGGATGAGAAAAGTGAAGGGATGAAGCAAAAAAAAGAAAGAAAGAAAGACTCATGGACACAGATAACAGTATAGTGATTGCCAGAGAGGAGGAGGGTGGAGGGAGGTAGAAGGGGAAGGGGATAAATGGAGATGGGAGGAGACTTGATCTAAGTTGGTAAACACAGTACAATATACAGATGATATACTGTAAAATAGTATACCTGAAATGTATACAATCAATGTCATCCCAATAAACTCAATTTGAAAAACAAAACAAAATGTAAGTAATAATATTGAATAAGTAATAATATAAAAGAAAAACACAAACACATTAGCTCTAGTCCAGCCACTCATTGCCTAGGAAAAAATAACACATTTTGATATATACAGAGTTATAAATAGGTGTTTAAAGAGGATGCTAAGGAAGAATAATGGCCTCAACAGTATGTTCTTACCTGGTGTTGGAAGAATGATGTTATTACAAATGTATTGAGAAAGGATGTCAGATTAACCAGACCTTTTGCTAAGGCGATGTTTCCTTCACTCTGTAGAAGAAGCGTTTCTGGACCGCTCTAGCTCTCTAGGCACTGTGATCTTCCAACCGCACGGCTACAAAATTCACATGCATTTCTCTTGATCTCCCTTTTTTGATTCTTGAAAGCTGCGTCTTTTTCTCAAATGTGATTTCTCTTAAGAGGATTAGGCTAATGCAGTCAGTGTTAGTTGTGGGGGTTTTCCAGAAGTCTTTGAGGGTGAACTATGTATAGATGAGGCAGGACACTAACAAAGGAAGAATTATTCCAAGTGCTTGGGGATAAGGAAGCACAGAGTGAATGAATAATCTTTCTAAGACTAGATGGAAAGAAACCATTGCTACTGATCTCTGTCCACATCAAAATGACATGCCCTTCCTCTTCTGGCTTTCTGTAGCTTTTACATATCTTTTCATAAAGGTGCTTCCTATCTGATTTTATCAACTAAAAAATAATAAACTTTAACTCCTCCTTTACTTTCAATTTTTATTTTTTTAAATATGTTTTCACTGATTTTTTTAGAGAGAGAGGGAGAGAGAAATAGAAACATCAATGGGCTGCCTCCTGCATGCCCCCCGCAGGGGATCTAACCTGAAACCCAGGCATGTGCCCTGACTGGGAATCAAACTGGGACCTCTCAGTCTATGGGTTGATGCTCAATCCACTGTGCCACACCGGCCGGTCTAAACTCCTTTTTTAAAACGAGGGCATGCTTTAGATTTCAGAGCCCCCCAAAGTTTGAAAGGTTTAGGAGTCTCAAAGACCAATCTGTATCACGTGACTGGAGACCAAGGCCAAAGGGATTCTTAAAGTATTACCTTAAAAGTGACAAAAGCCAATCAATCCATCAAAGAAAACACTCCTCTGTGACAGATTATATTTAAACAAATCTCAGGAAACTTATTTTCAAGTTTTTAAAGGCATTTGCTAAAATCACTAACTGATAAAATTACCCGTTCTATCTTTTCGTAAATTAAAAATAAAAGTCCTGATATATAGAAAATTAGATATAAAGGCAGAGTGTGATATCTGCTTTGTTGTAAAGTTGGTGACTCTTGACTAGATTATATGTATAGGGTATATTTAAGGAGATTAGCAAAGGTGTTAAATTAATCCTGTCCTCAGGCTTGAAGACGCTTAATCACTCATTGTTAACATTTATCTAAAGACTCTGAAATGTAATCCTTCGAAGAAATGGGTGTGTTCTTTAGAGACTCAATATACAGATATACCGAGGGCCAAACTCAATCTTCTCCAGAAGAGAGAGCGTGTTTTGGGAGGTCACCTGGCTGGGGAGACTTCTGAAAGATACTTCAAACCACCAGAAAGTTTGATTCCTGAGCTGACCTCTTCCTGTTTTTCCTTCTACAGAAAGCACTGGAGACCATGGACATGTTCCTTCGGTGAGTAAGCCAATGCCCATACGGGAGTTTCTACAACTTTCCTAAAGGAAAACAAACAAAAATTCCTAATTGTAAGTAATCACCAAACTGAGTTTGTTTCTATCAAATGACATTGTTTGCCAGCTGAGTGAAAATGATTCCACTCCTGTTTTGATAAGTGTATTGAAATCACTACGATTCATTGTAGTTTGCTGGTATATCCCTTAGCTGTTCCTATAGTTACAAGGACTCAGAAGGCAGTGCCCAGATACCTTGTAGATTTGTACTCAGCATAGATTTAAAAACATTTTTTTAGGAATATTTGATTCTATATGTAGTACACATTACAGTCTACTCTAAATGTAGTGCATAGCTGCATACATGACAGAGGTGACTTTTATAATATATAACCAGATAACACATCCACAGATTTGAGAAGAATTTTGCTTTAAAGGGACCTCAGTTCTTGAGTTCCTCAGTTCTTGGGTGAGTTCTGGCTAAGAGAAGAATTCAGTGCCAAGACTCAAATAATAAAACAAAGTTTATTTGGAAAGTCACAGAGGTAGAAGCCATCCAAAAAAATGGGCTCAGGAAACAAAAACAGCAAACAATGAAAAGAAGGGCCCTTGGAGCTTAGTGGGGAGACAGAGAGAGAGAGAGAGAGAGAGAGAGACCTTGAGAGATGAAAGAGGGTGGAGAGGATTGGGCATGCTTGAGAGAGAGAGAGAGAGAGAGACTCCCTGGGGAATAAATGGGGTGGGGAAAGGCAAAGCTGTGCTCCATAGAAAGAGCCATGCTGGGTCCTCCATCCTGAGGGCTTGTAATAGATGAGATCTCAGGAGAGGATCTCAGTAGAATATTCATCAGCTTTCCTGGCCTGTCTCCTCAGGGTCATCATGGTCTCTACTGATCAGTTAGCGACAGGGGAGGGGATCATTAGTCAATGCAGCTGGTCCTGATGTCAGGCATGGCTTTGATCTGCCTGGTTTTGTTGCTTTTCTGGGCCTGGAGCTGAAATACAGCTGAGGCTTAGATGTTATTTATCCCCAGGGGTTCATGTTTAAGGGAGTGGTCCAGCAAGGGCTTGTAGTTTTTTCCACTGCTAGGCACCCTGGGTTCTCTGCCCTGGTGACATGGATATCTAGTTGCCTACTACAATTATGACTATATTCAAATTACATTTGTCACAATGTAAAGAAGTGCTTGATAAGCATTTTGAAGACTTGAAATATCAGCAATTCTCTTTAAATTTTGGTTTATTTGATTAAGTGATATAGATAATAAAAAGAGGAGGGCAAATGAAACACATTGGCATAATTATGTGAGTAGATTCTGCTTAGAATCTGATCTTTTTGACAATGTTTGGTTTCCACTTCTTTAACTCTTAACATGTTCACATACTGTTTTGTAAAAAAATAAATAAATGTTTTGGAATGTGGATTCTAATTGAGATGAAAAGGGATATCCGAGGTAAGATGCCTGACAATTATATGAAATAATGAAAACTGAAGTCAAATATTTTGATCTAAGTCAATGACAGGCATTGAGTATTGGATGGAATTTTACAGCATTCAGGACTCAGCACCTGGAGCTATAAATTTGGGTTAAATGCCCGAAACTCAAGGTATTAGGAGAAAATAAGATCTGGCATTCTTTTTTATGCAGAATAAAAGGGGGCAGGAGGTAGACAGTGTGGGTTAGAAAGCCAGGAATGGGTTCTGCAGGGTGTGAGAGCTGTCCTGTGTCTCTGCTTTCCACTTGGGCCACATGCCCTGGCAAGCCCCTGGTACTCCAGACACACTGCTATGGAGACAACCTGAGTCAAATGTTGCTTAGACCTTTGTGTCTCCTGGGCAGAGGAATAAACTCCTGATTTTCTTCCCTCAGAAAAATGGACTCAGACATCCCACAAAACTTCCAGAAAGAACTCACCTGTGTCATCTGCCTGAATTACTTTACAGACCCAGTCACCATGGGCTGTGGGCACAGCTTCTGCTGGTCGTGTCTCTGTGTATCCTGGGAGAAAGTTGAAAGTCCTGCTTGTTGTCCACTGTGCAGACAACCATCAGAACAGACAAACTTAAAAACTAATATTCTTCTGAAAAACCTGGTGTCCGTTGCAAGAAAAGCCAACCTGAGGCAGTTCCTCAGCTCTGAGGGCAGTAGGTGTGGGCTACACAGGGAGACACTGCAGGTCTTCTGTGAAGACGCCAGGAGCCTGCTCTGCGTGCACTGCTCTGACTCTCAGGAGCACGAGGCCCACAGACACCGCCCCGTTGAAGACGCGGCTGAGCAACACCGGGTAAGTACTTCTCCTAAGAGCACTTTGAACACTGGAGGATAGTACAGCGAAGACAACACAAGGACATGAGGTTCGTCATGATGATTGAATCTTCTCTTCATAGAGTGTCAAGTACCCACTTAAGGACCAGTGATGAAGCTATGAGGCAAACACACTTGTATATCTGCCTTTGTGGACATTGTATTTACTAGGAGTATAATTAAGTTAATGATCATCTGTATTTTGATGGTATAATATTGTGTGCAAGACACTGGAAAGCCCCCTCATTTGAGAAAGAATCTCTGGTGTAAAAGCTACAAATAAATGCAAAAAGGATTTTCTGTGGGTACATATTTGCTAGCATGGGACAAAGAAGCAGGATAAAGTATATTGGAAGTAGCCGGGGACCAGTATCACTAGTTCCAAATTCTGATGCAAGAGGCCTCGCTGTCTGAGAAGCAGCCATGTTAAGTACAATTCTGATCAGTTCCCTAGACAAAGGACAATGTTGCATTGTGGGGTTCTACAGGCTGAAATCTAAAATCTATCATTAGTGAAGGCAAAGAGGGAAACATCATTATCCTTCTCTCCCTAAAGTGCTTTCATCTAACATCCCTTGATTATCTCCATCATTTAGAGTCTGAAATCTCAAGTTATTTGCTTCTCTGGTTATAAAATTGCATTTTCTTTCTTTTCTATTTTTTTTTAAACAGGCAATGCTCTCAAACCAAATGAGATCTTTATGGGAAAAGATTCAAAGAATTCAAGAAAATCTCAGTAAAGATGGCAGAATATCTGTCTATTGGATGGTGAGTATGAGACTGTATCTTCATCTGCATCCGGCTGACATGAGAGAAAAAGGAACGGAGAATGGCAATTTAAGATGTGTGCCTCTGATAGTGAGAAGTGAGAGTGTAGGAGCTAGAGAATGATGTTGCTTTAAGTAGAAGAAAATGTAACATGCTAAAGAAAAAGAAAACGGAGGAAAAGAAATAAAGAAAAAACGTGAGATTAGTGCAAATCCATGACTTTTGGGAAGAAATATGCAATGGAATGAGGATTACTGTTCTCTAGAACAACATGGAAGCCTTGACCTTAAATGGGGGACAGAAGCCCATCCACAGAGAAAAGGAGGGCAGAGACAAGGGCTGGGAGGATGGACATCAGTTTAAGGGAAGGTGGTAAGGATTTCAGGAAGAACTCTTCTGATGGCTCCTAATCCTGAGCAAAATGCAACATTACTGCTAAAGGTCAGATGTCAAGTCAGTGGAGTAGGGAGGGTTTGACACTAAGGACAAATTTACTAATGCAGAGATCAGAATATTGCATGTAATGATTGATTAATTGATCGTACATTTTAACTGCTTGCATGTAGTCTTGAGAGAACGAGTGTGAAAAAAAAATGATCAAAGCACAGGATTAAGGCTCTTGGTATAATTTATATATGAATGGAAAATAAATGAAGGAAAGAGGAATGAATATGTTGTGTCTGACAGGTGGGAGGACCTGAATTTGGGATGCACGAAGCTTATTGGTAGAGAACATGACTCAGCAAACTAGATGCTGTTTAAGTGGAGGAGGATAGGTTGACCTGAGTATGTGATCTAGGAAATTCTTCTCTCTGCAGACTTATCTCTATAGACACCAAGATGAAACCAGGGCTTTTTATGAGACACTACAACTGGTTCTTCATGAGGAAGACAAACAATACTTAAAGAGTCTTGTTAAGGAAGGGTCAAAGATGTTTGAGCAACTCGAGAAACTTGAAGCTGAACTGAATGAAAAGAAGATAAGCCTAAGAGGAATGTATGATGAGCTTATGGACATGTGTCTGAAACCAGATGTAGAATTTCTCCAGGTAGGAACTGAGCATATGTCTGGGAGTTTTTATATTATCAGAAGCCTACAGACCTTTGATTCCCCTTATTTCTTTTTTACAAAGATACATGTCTTCATCTCCTGTATCTATGGTAGACAGTGTCTCCCAATTGGGAATAACATAGATAAACTGCCATTCCTAACTTAACTATGAACAATGAAGCTTTATGGAACTGTGATTATGGACATTCCCTATGGAACATTTTCTTTTTTAAAATCTCCTTTCATTTCTTGCTTCACTAAACACCAGAAAGGAAAAACTTATCCCAGACCTTTTCATGTTGGTTTACAAGTGGGCAATGTAGAGACATTTGGTAAAACTCCTATATGCTCCCTCCTTCTGTTGGGATATCATTGGTTTCATTTGCCATTAATTTGGGGCATATTTCCCTTTGGAGACAGGCCTTGGGAAAGATCCATGTGCAGAGAGCTGAGAGTAACAGCAACACACAATCACTACCCTTGTCTTCTCTCTTTTCACACTCAGTGTTTTGAATTCATCAAGAACATAAAAACAGATAAAAAAAGATGGTTACCAGAAATGGGGGGTGAGAAGCGTGGTGGTTAAAAAAGAGAATGGGAAAGAGTTAATACTATTGTGATATATTTACACAGTAACAGATGTTTACTACAATTAGTGGGGTGGTCACTCTAAGGTATAAAAATGTTGAATCACTATATTGTACACCCGAAATGATTATAACCAATATAACACTGTATACCAATATTATACTTAAATAAAAATAAAATTTTAAAAACATATTTGAAAAAGAATTTAGATTCTGACAATATGTTGTGTCAGGATTATTTTTAGGGAGGAAAAGGAAAAGGAATTTTATGAGACACTTTGTAGGTGAGGGGATTATTACTTTTCTGAACTTCCTCAAACTCAAAAACTGATTGATAAAATAACCTGCTTATGATTAAGTCTAAGCTTCTATTTTCTTTCTTGACAGGAATTAGGGGACAAGCTGAGAAGGTGAGTTTTGTTTTCAATGCTAGCTGGGGCTCGTGTGGGCTTTGAAAGAGATCGAGCTACTACTAAGATAGTGAAGACGTACTTTTTCAGATTTTTCTCAATTATTTGCATGTGCATCTGTTTATACGTGTTTTAAAGAAAATGACTTCTTGTTCCTTTTTATCAGAAGTTAGTATTTTTCCCTTCTGTGACTAAGGGAGGTATGTATTGTCAGGATAAATGCAGACCTTTCTAGAAGAATGGTCATTTATGGTTTTATATTTCATAATCAATAAGAACTGAAGGGCAAAGACTAAATTTTCCCAGAATTAGGTAAGAGAGACAAGAACCTCTGAGAAATGGGGTGGCAGCAGGTAAAGAAGAAAGGTAAGAGATTCCCTCAGAATGGTACAATACCATCCCATGATTGTGAACAAAGAGATTTTGATAAAGAATGTTCAGTAGAATGATGATGGCACCAGAGAGATTAATTGCATCTCCTAACTTACAGGAGTGAGCAGGTGCAGCTGCACATGCCTCCACCTCTTCAGCCAGAACTCCCTGCACGACCCATCACTGGACTGATGGATAGACTTAACCGCTTCCGAGGTGAGTGCCACCCCATTGGTGGGACCACCTGGCAGGGTCTTTCAATTATGATTTTTTTGTTGGTGATATTTTTCTCTTAAGCTTGCTCTTACAGAGGAGAATATCCTGTAAATATCCTACTTAGTCATGGAGCCACCATAATATAGGAAAAGATAAAATCAAAGCTGTTGTAATGATAGAGGTGACTCCGGCCTTATCAATTACTATACATTTGATAAATTCTATAATGAGAAAAAAGAAGACATGCACCAAAAAAGGGCTTCTTGAGCCCTAGAAATATCAACACATGAAATGTCAGTTGTTCATTGAGCCATAGAAAAGTGGACATCAGTTCGAGATATTTCAACTTCAAAATAACTGCAGTGAATTAGATTCTAATATATTTTTGTTTTAACAATATCTAGTAAATGGATTTATGACGTGTTTCAATGGGTGTAATCTGAAATAATCATCAATGTGAAAAAAAAAAAAACCAACTAAATTCAGAAACCAAGAATTTCAGAATAGTAACAATAAAGCAAGTTGGTGGTCAATGAGGCCACACACAGAGCTCCATGGTACCTAAGCCTGCAGGGTTAATCTATCGGTAAGTGGAAGACTGAGTTCTCAGGTGGAACCAGTTATCAAAAGCGGACAGTTCTTAGTAGGAAATCACACCTAAGAAGGTGGTTAGGCTTCCTCTTCAGTGTCAACTTGCCTACTTAACTGGTGCATTATCATTGTCATCCTATCCTGGCAAAGTGATCTCCATTTGTCTATTTATTTATTTATTTATTTAAAATATATTTTTATTAATTTTAAGGAGAGAGGAAGGTAGAGGGAGAGAGAGATACATCGATGAAAGAGGGAGCATCAATTGGCTGCCTCCTGCACCTCCTACTGGAGATTGAGCCCCAACCCAGGCATGTTCCCTGAGCAGGAATCAAATAAATACAAGATCTCTCAGTGAATGAAACAGTACTCAACCAACTGTGCCTCACTGCCCAGGGCTCCATTTATGTAGACTAAAATTGCTTTTCTCGCCCATGAAGGGGCAATCAAGATAAGTTTCATTGCTATGGATATGGTGGTACTACCCAGGTGTCCAGCTTTTCGGGTTTTATGAAATTAAACAGCCAGAAGCAGACAGGACCTTATACTCCTTTATGATCTCTGATTTCTGCAAAGCCTTTTTTATTGTAATTAGATTTTTTTTTTCAAAAGATATGTTGGCATCACTTGAATCCAATATTTTCTATTCAGAAATATCTTACTAATGTTGAAATGTTTTTATGTCAGTGGGACAGTAGGGAGACCCTTTTTCTCATAGACAGTTTTATTTTTAACATTGGTTTTGGTTGGAGTATTTTCTTTTCTTTGCAGTGGAAATTTCCTTCCCCTGTGAAATAACCAATCATAATCTCAGGCTGTTTGATGATGTGAGAAGTCTGAGGTTTACGCGTGACCATCTACATATGTCTCTGGATCCTGGAACATCGAACTATTTTGCTGCATGGGGAGCCCAGGCCTTCACCTCTGGCAAACATTATTGGGAGCTGCATGTGAGCAAGTCTTGGGACTGGGCTGTAGGGGTCTGTAAGGATTCCTGGTTGAGGAAGAGGGGCACACTACTTGAATCTCAGGACACATTTCTTCTCTTATGTGTGAAGGAGGAGGATTGTTACACTCTCTGGACCACTGCCCCGATGACTCGTCAGTACATAGAGAAACCTCTGGGCAGGGTTGGTGTGTTCCTTGATGTGGACAGTGGAAGTGTAAGTTTTGTGGATGTTGCGAAGTGTTCTCTCATAAAGCACTGTCTCATTAAGCCTTCCCCACTCCAGAGCAATCTAGATGACACATTCAATTTTCCTTTCAGGCCTTTCATTTACACTGGCCACACATAAGTAGGGCTAAGTTAGGAACCTGTCTGTGTCCAGGATCTCCATTCTGAGGGAGCCCTTCTCAGTTGAAGCCTATCAATGATACTTTATTGTCCTTTATGTTCTTCTGCTTTAATGTAATCTCCTTTTATTATTACTCAATATAAAGATCATCTGAAATGCAAACTTTTGTTCATTTTATTTTCTTGATGTCATGAGCTCGCTAGGGTCACCAAAACATACATCAGTGTGCAATCACTATTCATGGTCCGAATCCGGAATGCAGGGTTTGCACATAATGAACATACTTGGTTATCTATCCTGGCCATGTTAGCCAGCAACTTTCTTTTCCTGCCTCTTGCTCTAGTTGATCCTAGAAGTCCACTCACCCTCTGGGGAAAAACTAAATTGACAAGGAAGTTTCCACTGACTTTCAGGACTAGGATAGTCCTTCATATCACAGAACCCAGTATAGCTGGTCCTGTTCTTTTTCAACAGTATATATGACGAGAGATGGAGGAAGTGTCTTGTATTCAGAGCTGTGTTCTCAGAAGCTAACACATTGGCTAGGATATCAGGGGCCCTTAGCAAATCTTTGAAGGTATATATTAGTAAATGAACAAAACAATTACCTTACTTGGAAAGAGTTTTGTTATACATTTTCTGGATTTGAAGGTTGATAATAAAAACTGGTTAAATTATACAAGTTAAGTTTAAGCCTGGTTGATTTTCCCCTTATATATAAAAAAAATGGTATTTGTGTGTGGGAGGCAGCAACTATGGAGACTCTATGAGCATAGAGACTCTGTGTGTGTGTGTGTGTGTGTGTGTGTGTGTGTGTGTGTGTGTGTTATAATTATGGTGGTCCTACATCATTAAATTATTTAAGATCATCACCTGGGCCATGAGTGATGGAATGGGAGACAGAACAAAATGTAGAGATAAGCTCCCTACTATCTGTCCCCATTTCATCATCATACAGTATTGCATTGTTTTTTGTTTTAATTGTTTTTGACCCACACTAAATTGCAAATTCACCATTGTATTTCCCCTACCAACTATATTTCCTAAATATATTGTTAGAAATTAACCGATGCTGATTAATTAAATCAAGGTGATTTCTTGAACTAAAAAAAGAGGCTCAAGCTTAGGAGACATTGTAGTTGGCTATGTGACATGAAGAGGTCAACTCAGGTCACTTTGCCAATCTCTTCATTTACTGTTACTGGTAAAAAGAACTTACATTTATGGAGATCTTACCACGTGATTTTCCTATAAATGTGTTTTGTCTATTTTACATATACAGTCTTAATCCAATATTTCTGGTGGAGAAACTGAGTCATGAAAAATTTGGTGATTTGAACTAAGGTAATAAGTAAGTCTCCAATGTCTGTGCTCTTACCTTTGCTATGTGTTGCCTCTTAAAAATACATCTAACGAGAAATAATGTAGGAAATGGACCAATGTCCCAGTGAATGTTGGTGTCACATTACATAATGCATAGAGTTTGTTTTAGGACCTAATATAGTATAAATCCTAAATAAATATGTACTTCCAATATTTAAAAATATCATTATCACCCTGGCCAGTTTGGCTCAGCAGTTAGAGTGTCAGCCTGAGGATTCAGGTCAAAGGCACATACCTGGGTTGCAGGTTTGACCCCTGACCCCAGTATAGGGAATAACCAGTTAATGTGTCTCTCACACTGATGTTTCTCTCTCTCTCCCTCCCACTCTCTTTAAAAACCAGTGGGAAAAGATCCTCAGATGAGGGTTAACAACAACTCATCATTAATATTAGTGCAGAAATAATAATATATACTTTGGTTTTCTAGTCATTTCCCTCATTCTATCCTATCAGTGGCTGATCTAGACTTTTCCTGCTGTTAGTTGATCCCAAATCAACTACTTTCTTATTCTCAGTAGATGGCTAGTATAACCCAATGCTATGTCATTGATGCAGTCCCTTACATTCATGCTCAACTGCCATTATTCCAAACCATATCAGCAACCATCATTACTACCTTTCAATTGTTAGCAAAAATAAATAAATAAATAAATAAGCAACTTAAACTTAGTTTTTATTTTTCATAGAGTGTTTATTGTGCTTAAAATGAGGTGTTATGCCCTAGATATATGCAGTCCCTGATATACCCTTTCTAACATAGCATTTCAGGAAATAGACATTAAAAAGATAATTACAGTACTAGGATATTGTTGCATTTGTAAATTAACCACTAGATTTATATATATATATAAAAAAAGAGGGGTTGGTTAATCCCTTAATTGGGACTTAGAATTAATGTATTTCAATGAAAAGCTGAATATCTAAAAAAGTGGCTGTGATCATTATTAGTTACCTGTCTAATAGAGACCAATAGAGATGGAATTTCATCTCTGGTTATTAGGGCCTGTTACTATGATTTCTTATATTTCAATTTCTATGCTACCGACTACATTTACTTCACTAAGACACTCCTCCTGGGTTTACAATAAATGGTTTGAGGCTCTTTGGAAAGAAATTAAATTCAAATGCCAAATAGTACATTTTTAAATAATTTAAATTAAATTTGTATTTAATGCAAATAGATATTTACAATTTAATAAAATAAATATAAAATACTAGTATTTTGAAAATTGAAATTTAATTCATATTCAATCCAAAATATATTCAAAAACCAAAATAAATTCCAGATGAAATAGAGAGTTATATGTGAAGAATGCAACCATAAAATCAGAGGAAAACAAGGGTGTGGCTTAATAATTCTAGGTGAATTAGGATCTTGAAAACCTAACAACTGGAAAAAAATCACAAAGTAAATGATGTGTAAACAAATGAAAACAGCATACTGAGAAAAATATTTCTAATAAATATAACAAAATATTACAATATTTTCTCTCTTTTCCTTTTTTTCTTTATTGATTTTATTTTTTTTAAACTTACTTTTATTGTTGAATGTATTACAGATGTTCCTCCTTTTTCCCCTATTGACCCCCTCCTTCCCACCCTGCCCCCTTCTGCCTTTTCCTACTCTGTTGTCTGTGTCCTTTGGTTATGCATACATGCATATAAGTTCTTTGGTTTATTTCTTCCCCCCCCCCCTCCGATCTCCCTTTCCTTTGAGGTTTGTCAGTCTAAAAATCAATTTGTACTTCTTAGTCCCTTCATCTTTTTCACCCATTCCCCCTACTCCCTCCCATCTGCCAACCAACAAAATGTTCTCTGTATCTATGAGAATGTTTCTGTTCTGCTTGTTCATTTTGTTTGTAGAATCAATTGTCAATAGATATGTATTTATTGCCATTTTATTGTTCATGTTTTTGTTGTTATTCAAGAAGAGCCTTCAACATTTCATATAATAATGATTTGGTGGTGATGAACTCCTTCAGCTTTTTCTTGTCTGGGAAACTTTATATGTCCATCAATTCTAAATGATAGCTTTGCAGGATAGAGTACTCTTGGTTATAGGTCCTTTCTTTTCATCACCTTGAATATTTCTTGCCATTCCCTTTTGATCTGCAAAATTTCTTTTGGGAAATCAGCTGACAATCTTATGGGAATTTCCTTGTAGGTAACTAACTGCTTTTCTCTTGCTGCTTTTAAGATTCTATCTTTGTTTTGAACCTTTTGCATTTTGATTATGATGTGTCTTGGTGTGAGCTTCTTGGGGTTCATCTTGTTTGAGACTCTCTGTGCTTCCTGGACTTGTATGTCTGTTTCCTTCAACAAGTTAGGGAAGTTTTCTGTCATGATTGTTTCAAATAGGTTTTCAATTTCTTGTTCGCTCTCTTCTCCTTCTGGCACCCCCATGATGCGAATGTTGGTATGCTTGATGTTGTCCCAGAGGATCCTTACACTATCCTCATTTTTTGGATTCTTTTTTCTTTTTGCTGTTCTAATTGGGTGTTTTTTGCTTCCCTATATTCCAAATTGATAGTTTGCTTCTTGGCTTAACCTACTCTACTATTGAACCTCTGTAAATTATTCTTTATTTCAGTTAGTGACTTCTTCATTTCTGACTGGTCTTTTATTATGCTCTTGAGGCTCTCATCAAGTTTATTGAAATTCTCTCTCAGTTCATTGAGCATCCTTATAAACAGTGTTTTGAACTCTGCATCTGTTAGATTGCTTATTTCTGTTTTTAGTTCTTTTGCTGCAGTTTTGTTCTGTTCTTTCATTTGGGACCTGTTTCTTTGTCTCTTCATTTTGGCTGCCTCCCTGTGTTTGCTTCTATGTATTAGGTAGAGTCGCTATGCTCCTTGACTTCCTAGGGTGGCCTATTGTAGTAGGTGTCCTATAGGGTCCTGTGGCACAGCTTCCCTGGTCTCCCAGCTGGGCCCTTGAGGTATATCCTTTGTGTAGACTTTACCCCCTTCTGTTGTAATTGAGTCTTGATTGCTGGTGGAATATCAATGAGAGGGTTTTACTCAGGCTGATCAGCTGCAAGGACTGGCTGTGCCCACTATCCACTGACCTCAGACTACCTTGGATGATCAGCTAGCTGTGTAGGCGCCCACCACACAGAGCTAGACTTACTTCAGCAAGGCTGTGGTACCCATTGAGTCCATTTCTTGAGTGTGTCACTTGTGGAGATGGTTGGGTGGTGATGCTTCGCAATGTTCTGCAGCTGTCCACTGGATGTGCTGGCTCTGGGGCCAGGTCAAACACTGCCTGTGTTCTACCTGGGGCTATGCAGCATAAGCTACAAAGTGGTCTGCTGATGGCTGCTTTTTGTGCTGGGTTTGGAGGTGCCTAGGTAAAGCCAAGTTGTGAACCAAGACTTGCTGCTTCTAGTGCCAGGCCTAGATACACTTAACAAGAGGGATGGGACTTGCTGAGACCAGATGCTTCTTGTTTGAGAGAATTTAGGAAAATCTGAGGCAGGATCCAAGACAGGCCATTCCTATGGTAAAGCAACTGGTAACAGCTTGGGTGGGTCTGAAAGTTGGGTGGGGCATGGTCTCGGAGAATCACCAGGGCAAGACAAATAGTGTGAGCCAGGTTGCTGAAGTCCCAGATATGGT